GTCTACAACGAGTACCTACTGAAGGATTGTCGGAGCGTCGACGCCCATCATGCTGCAGAACGTCTTCATGTACGTTGACTCGATCGTCTGCAATGTCGTCCTGCTGATATGCCGAGGCAAGCTGCTCGACGCCTTCAAGCCGGATGCTCTCGCTTCCATCTACAAGGTCAGCAAGTTTTGCGTGTGCGTGTGACGAATCGAAACCTAAATCGAAAGCGGTTACGGTCGAGTGCCACCGATGTTTCGTTTTGGTTTTCGGTCTCGGGTTTCTGTGTTCGGGTGGGTGTTTAGATTAGTGCATGTTTGGTAGGCATGGTGCAGGAAAAGAAAGCATTTTCGGGATTATGCGTTGAAACCTAGTGAATTTCCGTGTGTTGAAACCTAAAACGCTACTGTGAATTCTGTGGTGTTCGAAAGCCTATGTGAATTTCGGTGTGTTGAAACCTGTGAATTTCTGTGTTTGAAACCTAGTGAATTTCTGTGCGTTGAAACCTAGTGAATTTCTGTGCGTTGAAACAGTAGTTTAATATTCTGTGTGATAAACCTAAGGTGAATTTCTGTGTGTTGAAACCTAGTGGAATTTCTGTGTGTTGAAACCTAGTGAATTTCTGTGTGTTGAAACCTAGTGAATTTCTGTGTGTTGAAACCTAGTGAATTTCTGTGTGTTGAAACCTAGTGAATTTCTGTGTTGAAACCTAGTGAATTTCGGTGTGTTGAAACCTAGTGAATTTCTGTGTTGAAACCTAGTGAATTTCGGGTGTGTTGAAACCTCAGGTGCAATTTTCTGTGTGAAACAGTAGATGAAATTCTGTGGCGCGTTGAAGACCTGATAGTGCATTTCTGTGCGTGAAACCCCTAGTGAACTTCTCTGATGTGTTTGAAGTCCTAAGGTGAATTTTCTTGTGTGTGTGAAGGAACGCGTAAGTGAATTTTCTGTGCGTTTGAAAACCTCAGTGAATTTCTGTGCGTCTGAACTAGTGAACTATTTTGTTGGCGTTGAAACCTAGTGAATTTCTGTGCGTTGAAACCTAGTGAATTTCTGTGTGTTGAAACCTAGTGAATTTCTGTGCGTTGAAACCCTAGTGAATTTCTGTGCGTTGAAACGCTAGGTGAATTCATCTGTGTGTTGGAATACCTGAGCTGATTTCTGTTGTGCTTGAAACCTAGTGAATTTTCTGTGGCGTTGAATAACCTAGTGAAAATTTCTGTGCGGCGTTGTAAACCTAGTGAATTTCTGTGGGGCGTTGAAACTAGTAATTTCTGTGTTTGAAACCTAGGTGAATTTGCTGTAACGGTCTGAAACCTAGTGAATTTCTGTGCGTTGAAACCTAGTGAATTTCTGTGTGTTGAAACCTAGTGAATTTCTGTGTGTTGAAACCTAGTGAATTTCTGTGCGTTGAAACCTAGTGAATTTCTGTGCGCTTGATAACCGTAGTTAGAATTTTCTGTGTTTTGAACCTAGTGATTTCGTGCGTGAACCTAGTGAATTTCTGTGCGTTGAAACCTAGTGAATTTTCTGTGTGTTGAAACCATAGTGAATTTCTGTGGCGTTGAGAACCTAGTGAATTTCTGTGTGATGACAACGCCTAGTGAAAAAAANGAGAGAGAGAGAGAGAGAGAGAGAGAGAGAGAGAGAGAGAGAGAGCGCGAGAGAGAGCGAGAGAGCGAGAGAGAGAAAGTGATCTTGCAATGCGCGCGTGCGTGTGCGTGTGCCCGCGTGTGTGCGCGCGCGCGTGAACGTGTGTGCGCGCGTGCGCGTGTGAGTGAGCGTGTGTGCGCGCGTGTAGTGGGGGGGGGGGCCTGTTTCTGTGTGTGCGTGTGCGGCACGCGTGTGTTGGTGTTAGTCTGTGTTACAGCACATCATTTCTAATGCCAAATTGATTAACAATTCTCCATATACCTCTGCTTATATACGAGAAGAAAACAATATTATGCTTTAATTCCTCTAGAAAAAATCCGAACGGATATCCAGCGACGGCCACGTTCTTCGTGTCGCACGAGTACACGAACTATGAGGTCGTCGAGAAATACTACAGTAAGGGATACGAGATCGCCTCGCACTCCATCACGTTAGTACTCATAGAAACATATAGATCGCAACGAGAATTCCACGTCATGCTGCTCTCTCTCTCTCTCTCTCTCTCTCTCTCTCTCTCTCTCTCTCTCTCTCTCTCT